AGCTCCAGGTCTCTCTGATCCTTATCCCTTGTTCTATTCCAGGTGTCTCTGACCCATCTGACCATCAGAAACAGGAATAGAACTAGGCCATTCAGCCCCTCAAGCCTACTCCACTGTTCATTAGGATCATGGCTGATCTGACACTGCTCACATTGACTTTCCTGCCTTTTCCCAGAACTGATTGCCCATGATTGGGTCAAGAATCTATTTATCTCAGCCTTAAATATACAGAAGGACTCTGCCCCACAGCGCTTTGTGGCAAGGAGTTCCAAAGGCACTCAACCCTCAGAAAAGAAATCCCTCCTCATCTCAATCCTAAATTGGTGCCCCTTAATTCTGAGATTATGCTGTCTGGTCCTCAGCTGTCCCCTGAGGGGAAATATCCTCTCAGCAATTACTCTGTCAAGCCCCTTAAGAATCCTCTATGTTTTAATGAGATCACTTCTCATTTTTCTAAACGACAATGAGTAGAGTCCAAATCATAGCATAGTCCTTCCATACCAGGGATGAGCCCAGTGAATCTTCACTGAGCTGCCTCCAATGAAATGATATCTTTCATCCCTCATTCTCCTCTAGATTAGGGTTAACCCTTACCGTATCTCTCTGACCCTCATCCCTTGTTCACCTCCAGGTCCCTTGTACCCTGGCTTCTGGTTCATTTCTGGCTCTCACTGACCCTGTGTTTTGTTCATCTGAAATTGTGGAATGTGACGATGTGTGCAGGATGTAAACTTTGTACTTGTAAACAGGATGCTGTTCCTGCAGCTTGCAGTGGCTTCACTGGGATGTGGCAGCAGAACAAGGACCGACATGAGCGGGAGAGCGAGGTCGTGATTATCATGACAGGCCATGAGGGGTCATACTTGTGCACAAAGTGGTCTCTGAACCTGTGCTGCCCAATGTACATGAGATTGTAAGGAGTGAGCAGAGCAAACTAGACAGAAAGAAGTACAAATAAATCACTGTTTCATGTGGGACAAGTATTTGAGGGCTTGGAGAATGACGTAGGAAAAAGTAAAGGGGCCAGTGCTACCCTGGGAGAGGGCGAGGTGCAGGAACCAATGGAGGAGTGGACAAGAAGACGTCATTGATTTTGGGGAATCATGATCACAGTTACTGAACATAGGCAGTCGACCATTTGTAAACAATTTTCAGAATTTTTTTTTTCAATTTAAGTGACAGCTGTTTATTTAGATGCACAATCCAAAGTACAACCAGTGACAGATGAGCACAGATTGCCGATCCTGGGGCTGTTGTATAGAATGGCAGAGCAAGGAGAGCAGTGCTGGAGTGTTTATCCCTGATGTTTCACAATCTTCGGTGGGAACAATTTTCTTTCTTCCCTTGAGCTGATGTTGAGAACTCCTGATCTTTTCAGATAGTGACTCATTTGCCTGGATCCCTCTTCCCACTTCCTCCGTCTTCCTTGCTCTCACTCTCGCTCCCTCTCTCCCTCTCTCTCTCTCTCTCCCCCCCTCTCCCACTCCCCCCTTTCCCTCCCAACTATCCTTGTTGATATCCTTTGTTTGGGCACTGGCAGTCTATGCTGTGTCAGTCACCAGTCTGATTTCTATCGGCCAGTGATCACAAGAGAATGCACGTGATGCCAGGATACCCTGTTACCCCACAGCCTCAGAATGAAGGGAGGACCCTTTTGAACTGAGTCAAGGAGGAATTTCTTCAGCCAGATAGTGGTGAATCTGTGGAATTCATTGTCACAGAGGGCTGTGGAGGCCAAGTCATTGAGTGCCTTTAAGATAGAGAAAGAGAGGTTTTTGATTGGGAAGGTGATTGAAGCTTATGGGATATCAGCCATGATCAATTGGCGGAACAGATTTGATGCCGCTATACCTTATGGTTTTATGGTAAGCGAGTGTAGGTACCAGTGATGAAAATGAGTTTTCCAACGCAGGCAGAATCATTTACTGACATCATTGAATACTTCACAGCAAGGCAGAGGTACAGAGAATATTCTGACAGACAGAATCCAATCCTGTGGCTGGAGATCAGTTCCATCTATTTACACGAGCAGATTGTTAGCTGTCATTCAGGGAATTGGACGTTCTGTCTGGCTCGATTCCAGGCATGTGGTTCACTAACACGTCCCTTTGATATTATTCCTCACGTACATATCGGTGTGTCCGTCGTGGACCTCCACAGATTGTAAAGTGTCCTTGTGCTCTTTGAAGGCCAGAGTAACTGAATACTACAGCTAGGCTTATAACTGTTTGATTTACCCACAATGATACCTGAACCTCAAAGGTTACATTGAGGATCGATTTCGCACAGGATTCAAATCAAGCTTTGAAATATTAAGGGAAATTGATCAGGTGGAAAGATAGGTTATTTCTGCAAACCACTTCTTCTTCCCTGTAATCCTACTCTCATTTGCTCTTCAGCTGCTTGTCCATTTCTGTTTTGAGTGTTCTCTTCCTCCACTCTCAGGCAGTGCATTCCTCTCACTGTCAGAAGTTTTTGGTCCTCAGTGGCATCTCGTTCTTGCTTCTTCCACGAATGGGAGCTGTATGTCTCAGTCCAGATTCCTCCTCATTTTAAACACTTTGATCAAATCTTCTGTCAGACCTCCATAAGGAGAACAATCCCAGCTTCTCCAATTTGTCTATGGCATTGAAGACTGTCTTCACCAGAATCATTCTTGTGAATCTTTGCTTCACTCTCTCTAAAGCTTTCACATCCTTCCTGAAGTGTGGTGTCCAGAACTGAATAGAGTGCTCCAGCTCAGGCTTACCCACTGCCTTATTACATCTCTCATAATTTCCTCATAAAGAACAGTAGACGCTCGGAGCTCTCTGCCACAGATGATATTTGATGCTGGATTAATTGGTACTTTAAATCTGAGATTAATGTATTTTTATCCACTGCAAGTATGAAGATACATGGGACAAGAGTGGGTTTGTGGAACTGTGTTGCAGATTGTCAGTGTTTTCATTGATTTCAAAGGCTCCTCCGGTTCCTCTGATGCTCTGAGTCTACTCCCATCCCGCCCGCACCACTAGCAACATTGATTTGGACACTAATTTGAAAACAACAAATGCTGGAGATCACAGTGGATCAGACAGCATCCATAGAGAGAGAGCAAGCTAATGTTTTGAGTCTAGCATTAGCTTGCTTTCCCTCCATGGTTGCTGCCTGAGCCGTTGTGATCTCCAGCATTTTTTGTTTTCAGTCCAGATTCCAGCATCTGCAGTAATTTGCTTCGACAGTGAGCGAGTCATTTGGTTGCTTTCCTGTTGGAATTCCACCAACCTGCACCTTCCTGTTTCTAGCCCTCCTTCCCACCTCCAGTCATTGAGTTAGTTAATTTTGAAAACCTAGGGTTGGGCAGGGATGTGAGAAAGAGAACGGTCAACTGGGAGGAAGTGAAATCATTAGCAAGAAATCTGCTGGTTTCTGCTGTATGTTGGGACAGTACACAAGGAGGATCCAGTGAGTATGATCACTGCTGGGAGACTGTAGTCACTGGGTGGTGGGTGCGGTCAG